ATACAGTGCCAATGCTAAGTTATTGTGTGTGGATCACAGAAAACATAATTCAATGATGTGCAATTTGTTTACTCAATACCAAAACTCTTATTCTCAAACCCGATAAAAAGAAATAAATGTGGGACTCATATTATTCAAAAACTTAGATTCTAAAGCTTAATAAATTTTCCATTAAAATGAACAACATTTGATAAAAATAAATAAATAAATAAATTAATAAATAAAACTCAGGAAAATATTATTAAACATATAACAATGTACCAATTTTTATAGCTTACAGAGTTCATACAAATCAATAAAAAACAAATCATCTGATAGAAAACAGAACATAGTCATACAGTTCACAGAAAATGAAATATAAAAAAAACAATATACATGAAAATGTGTTCCATCTCCTGCATTAAAATGCATTACAGCTTCATAAGATGCAAGATACCATTTATTCACTTCCAGATCATCAAATTTTAAAAAGTTTAGTACCTAGTATTGGCATGGGCCTCGTAAGAAATTATTCTTATACATTATATGTGGAAGTGTAACTGGGCAAAGATTTCTGGAGAACAATTTGGCAGTAACTACTGAAATGAAATGAAAAATACCCTTTGACCCAGCAATTCTATTGCTAGGAATGAACCCTGTTGGTATAATCTCATTATATGTACAAGTATGTTCACTGCAATATGGTTTAACAATAGTAAAATGTTTAAACATTTATAACATTCATACATCAGAATACCACAGTCATTAAAAAGAATGAGGTATTTCTATACATACTGATACAGAAAGATCTTATAAGACAGCAAAAAAAGCAAGGTACAGATTGTATGCCATCTGATTCCATTAATGTAAATTTTGTTTAAAATATATATTTGCTAGCAAATAATTTTTTTTTCCTGAAAGAATATACAAGACACTTTAAGCTGGTTACCTTTGGAGACAGGTATTAGGAATAGGAAGGAAGGGGGCAAATTTCATTTCATACCTTTCTGTACCATCTGATTTTTTTGCCAAGCGCATATATTATCTTTTTTCCTCTTTAAAGAATATTTGATTAGTAGATAATTTTGAGATATTCCTAGGCAGAATTAAATACCAGTAGTGCAATTTTTTTAAAATACTGCAGATAAGTGCCAAGTTGTGCAAACTAGAACTTCTCCTTGAATTTTCAAGAAACTTTAGATTTGCCTCCTAATGCTTTAACCATGATGTCCTGTTAAGTATAAAGTGGTATAAAGTGACATTTTGTAATAGCAGTTTGGCTATATAATAAATTTGTGATGGAAAGATTAGACACTGCTACTCAAGGACCAAAATTCTTATACCCTGAAGTTCATTTGATAATTTATAAATATAAATGAGATTACACATTCTATTTCAACTCCAAAAAACATAAAATTGCAATAAGACTTTACATATATAGTAAAAAGTATAGTATCCATTGAATTTAGTAAAACAGCATCACATTGGAAAAAACAGTCATAAAATTAGCTCTTACATTTTTCTGAGGACAGAGAAGCAGAAGAAAATGAGATTAAAAGTAAAAAAAGAAAAAAAAACTACTAAAAACAGGGTGAGGGTGAGACAATCATTTATTTATTAGACAGGGCAAGATCATTTAAAGAGAGAAAACATATCCAAAAGAATGTGTTTAGCTTGGTGTTACAGGCATCGATGCTCACAACAAATAACACTACTGAATACATCATGGAAATAGGCCACAAACAACCAGGAAGATGCTATCATGCCACTTAAAAAGAAGCTACAGTGCTTAGGAAACAATCATTAGGGAGTTACAGAGCATCAGTCTCCAATTTGCTGATCTGCATTTTCTGCAGCTGGGCCATTAGCCCATAGCATTTGGCTGGTTCCCTGATTATTAAGAAGTGATTCTCCCTATATTCTAGAGAGCCTTCAAACTTCTGAATGTCACTGAATTCACAGTCAAATTCAGGCTGAACTAGCTCACATCATTACATTTTTGGGACTACCCTAGGTAGTCATGGACTGTCTCATATTATAAATAAATTCTTTACATAATTCATTTAGCACTGTTACAATGCACCCAAATCACCTTTAGCTCAATGATACATACTTTTAAAAGACAGCAGAAATTCATTGCAGGAAAGTAAAGAAGAAATTTGGGGAGCTTACTTGGCCTGAGGTACACAGCTGCTAGCAAAGTTAGACATGGCTGAAAACTGCTATGTCAATTGTTTGCCAAATTATTTGGCATCATTTTTAGCAGGACTTTCCTGACTAGGCAGGCAAAGATTTCAATTTTAGAGATTAGCCAAAATATTATAAGTGAGTATATCATGAATGCCTGGCTATGAGGAAAGACAATTCAGTATAAGGTTAACTGAGAAGCCTGTTAGGTATCTGACCCTCTGTCCTTACATCTACTAATTTTACCAACCACTTCCTTTCACAGCAGTCATAGTTCTCAAGATGATAAGTTCTTACTCCACATAGAACAAAACCACATTTGGAAAGCCAGTCATGAAAGACCAGATATTATATGAATCCCTTTATAGTAAATGCCCAGAATAGGCAAATCATAGAGACCGAGAGTAGATTAATGGTTACTTAGAGCCAGGAAATGAGATGTGACTGCTAAAGGGTATAGGGATTCTTTTGCTGTGATGACAATGTTCTCAAATTGACTGCAGTCATGATTGCACAACTTGTGATGATATTGCAGAACCAGTGAATTGTACCTTTAAATGACTGAATTGTAAGGTATGTGAATTATATCTTAATAAAGTCATAAAAACACATTAGTAAAGAAAGACAGCCGCAAGCAAATCAAGTCATACTGAAGGAAATGGTCTACAAGCCTGATGTAAGGAAATTGTTTCTTATACACTATTTTGATTATATTATCATCATTTTAACCTCTGACTTCACATTTTTAACTCATTTCTAAATTATTTTAGTTTATCAGAAGATTTCTAACTTTGTTCTCTTTAGAGACAGAGTCAGTGTTCCACAGACAGACTAGGTTGGCAAAACAAAACAAAACTAAACCACAATAAAAACCCAATGACAAAATAATCTCTTGCTTTGGGGCTGTGTGTTGCTAGGCAGAATAGAAGAGCTGAGGTTCATTTCTAATGGAAAAAATGCCACCAAGCTTAAGGGCATCATATGACTCACCTAAAGCACATTTCCTTTTCAAATCTGCAGTTATTCCTTTTACATTTATACAATTCAACATAAGCAATGTTTTCATACCTGTAGAATTCAATAAAAGCAATGTTCTCTACAAAGAAATGTTAAGCTTTCTGCAGATCAAAGAGCTAGCCAAATTTCCCTAAAACTAAATCACTGTTTCTAAAAAAATTCTACTCTTTATTCTCTTCCTCATCTTCAGCAACATATGACAAAGATGAAAAACTCTAAGCCTACTACATATCAGAAGCTACAAAACAACTTCTTAAATTACCTTGATGTTTTTTAAATTAAAGATATTAGTTCCAAATATTTAGAACATATTTGGCCCAATTCCTTTGAAGTCTACCTTTAATGACAAGTTTATCTTTACTGATTCACTAGTATAGGACGTAACAAAATAACAGATTTTTAATAAATTAAACTGGCTAATGACAAGTAATCAGTTTTCCTCAGTGATTACTAACCTTCTACATAGGCAGGATAATTAAATCACAAATGGTCTTTCTGGTCTATCTTCAACTATTATTACACTACATAACCAAATAGGGAAATTTTTACAGATAGATGAAGAATGCACAAGTAGCTTTACAGCATGTTGACTTTGTTAAAAATATTTGTTACGATAAAGAATTTTGGATGCAAAAATTACTCACTGCACATAGAACCCCAGAGAAATGATGAAATAAGACAGCTGATATTAGAAGGTATATAGGAGTTGGGTGGGGTGAGAAGTAATGGATAAATTAAAAACTGACAAGTACCTGCTGAAGCAGAGCCACTTTTTAGGAGGCATAAGAAAAATTGATAAGTCACCTTTTTAAAATTTCTTTAGAGAAGTCCACTTGTTGTTAAGAGCTGAAGACCATTTTTCTATCATTCATGCTGCAAAATGCAGTAGTCACGCTATTTCCAAAAGGATCCTAAAAACTGTAGTGCAAAAGAAATCTAATAAAATAAATAATTACAAAACCATCAACATTTTTTCAAAAAATGTGTTCAAAACAGTGACTTTTACAAAAGATGTGAATTTGTTTCAAATGAAAAAAGGAATTCTCATTATGAAGATCAAAGACTCCTTTCACAGATAATTTATACTGCATCAATGATTTAAAGGTGTACAAACAATGGCCATAGACTTTTTTTAAATTATGTCTGAAAGATCAATATAAATACTTATGGAGGGGGAGTGTTTTATACCCCAAACTCCAATATCTCATCTCTGTGTCCTGTCCTGATATTATGATTTGTAAAAATCTTAACGACGCAATGATTCAAGTTTTCGTAACTTCAACGATGTGTTAGAGGACAATGCATCTTGGTTTGAAGAATTTGTTGTATCCGAAGGCCGGAACAGTACTCTACCACGATGATTAAATACATAAAATGAAGGGTGATTCCTTAATGTGTCAAATGTCCTTAAAAAAAAAAAGCATCAATTTTAGATAAACCTTATAAAGCCTATTTAAAAATAAGCAGGTTTCTGATGAATTATGAATTTACTATGGGTTATATTTTAAACTATGTTTAAATCCATGAAATCATACTGTATCTCATTTTTCTGTATAAAGATAATAATAAACTTAGAAAAGCAACAGAGAGCCCTCGAATTTTTTTATTCAGCCATTCCTTCCAGTGTCTATGACTAACACAAATAATTGCTCAACTTTAATCACCTCTGTAGATCTAACACTAGCCCATGACAAATAGCCTTTTTTAAAAAACCAACAGAGATTGTACTTTTGATTATTTTCATTTGACCCTCACTATTCAAGTCCTATGATCATTTCACAGATCTGTTTTCCAAGAATCTTTCAAGTACAATGAAAAAATTCCTTTGGCCCTTCTGTACCTGCTGTTGTCCAAACTCATATATTTTGCTACCACCTACTTAATGTGATTCTGTTTTACTTCTTTCTTTACTGGCCCCTTGCCTGTAATTCTTAGTAGACTCTTTGTAAGAGCAGTAGTGGGTGGTGATAGTGGAGTGGATTCTTCTTTTCCAGTGGGAGATACGTAGTCTAAAAAAAGTTCTTTTTAGACTACGTGTATGTAGGTGTATGGCTTTTAGTTAGTTTGTTTTTAAATATTATTTTCCTGTAAAAAAGAATTCCTCCTCTGATAAAAACCCAAGTCTCAAAGTCGGCCCACCTAAACTTCCAAGTGTTCCCCCACATAAAACAGGAAGCCTGAGATGTGATTATCTACAATATAAATTAAAAAGTAAAAGTAAAAAGAGGGTATGTTTCCTCTAACACATAAATGTTTGTTGTGAATCCTCCTAAGGAAATATTGTAAAGTTAAATTTTCCAGGATCAAGAAAGTAGATAAAGTCCAGAGATGGAATTAAATAAAGCTAAAAGATGACTTTATGAAAGTAAGAAATATGGAAAATAAAAGCAAGCAAAGCTCAGAAAAAATAGCTTAGAAGAAGTACAGGAGAAAAAAGAAAGCAGAGTAACAAATATATTTTAATTCAGGGATATAAAAGGGCCTGAGAGTAGTTTATGTAACAGACTAGGTTCAAGTGATAGAGGAAACAGAAGACCCCTCATTCTTCCCAAGACTAAGCTGGGACAAGAGGATAAAGAGAGTCAAAAGGAAGGAAGCAGGGAGGTAAGGAAAGAGAGGGAAGGAGAGAAGGAGGAGTGAAGGGAATGAAGGAAAAACTTTCTGAGGGAATATCTTCCTATATATCTATTTCCATCCACCTGTCCATCCAACCAACCAACAAATAATTTTAAGCAACCATAATAGAACATCTTATTCTAATTTCAATAATCTGTCACTCAACATCCATTCTTCCTATCATATCAAACACTGCCTCAATATTTTTACTTCATTACTCATAAAGACTGTATAATTAAAATATAAAAACAAAACCAACTTTTCTGTACCAGAACACATACATTTAAAATTATGTACATGAAGCAAAAATCCCTAAGATATTAAATGCCTACAAAAAGGGAAAGACTTACTTATTTTTTAGTTCTGAAGTAGCATCCATGTCTTTAAACTCCCCTGCAATATGAACTATACCATAGCAGGTAACTGCAAAGGCCAGAAGTGTCTGAAGAACTATCTGTGAGTATAAAGATTGAGGTTACTAAATAACATACAAATATTATTATAAAAATTTACAAATTTCTCTCCATCTCTTTTTAGCCTCTAACAGGTATTTCTCGCAGATCCTATCAAGGAGTCAATTCTCATTTTAAATGATATAAACTTCAACACATTAAAATCTTCTATAAATTGGCTGCAAAAATAGTTGTGGGTTTTGTTCAAATAGCAGAAACAGGTACTGAGCCATTCAGCTTAAGAAACAGAACATAACCAGTACCTTTCAAGTCCTATGTGTCTCTCTGTAATTATATCCTTAACCCTCCCTCTCAAAGTTAGCTATTGTTCCAAATTATGCATTAATCAGTTCTTTGCTTTTCTTTATAATTTTGCTAGCTATGTATGTACCTCTAAAATATATATTGCTTACTTTTCCCTATTTTGAACTTTTTCATGGGATTCATCTCTGTTGCAGTATACAGTTGTCGTCTGTTTATTTTCATTGTGTTTTGTATTTCATTATATGAAAATACCACAACGTATCCATTCCACTGTTAATGGTTATGTAGGCTGTTTCCTGTGTGTTACTTTTACAATGTCGATATGGATATCCTTGTGTATGTCTCTTGGTGCATGGGAGTAGAATCACTGGTATAGAGTATATGCATGTTCAACTTTATTAGGTAATATTAAACTTCTTTCCAAAGAGGTTGTGCAAGCAAAAACTTGCAATGCTTGATATTAACCAACACAGGATTACAGACGTATTTTATTTTCTTGATTGTGATTTTCTGTTTTTCAAATTTTCCAATTTGTAAACAGAAGAAATTTATTTTAAATAAATATAAATGAATGTGTGTGTGTATCTATAAAGCAAAGGTGATGGGAGAATGAGTTAATAACCACATCTGCCATAGCTTTAATCATAGACAACTGAAGTCAAAATAAGTCACAAGCTGTTACTCTAACTTTATAAATTAAATTCTAATGTCATACATTATACCAGTTTACATTCCTACCAAGTATACCAAGGTCTAGTTCATATGATGCAATCATAGGTATCATTAACAAGAATGTGGTAAATCTATGAGTCATCGTGAAAATATATCAAGATAAATTAAGTAATAAAAATCTAATTATAAAACTATACATATATACAAAAATGCATAACACCGTTTGCAATCTACCAAAGAAAAATTCTGAGTGTTTTGATTAGGTAAAACTACACAGACATAAATAAAGATAATGTTGTTTATGCACAAGAAGAAAACTGAACTACTGGTACACTCCAAACCGTTCAGAATAGAAGTGCTGAGCAGTGGGGGGCAGTTTTTGTGTTGTTGGGTCTTTTTGTTTTTGTTTTTAGTATGTGGTCAGTTTTACTTTTTACGGTTACTGCTTGATTCTGTTACAAAGAACTTACTATTTTGTAATTTAAAATTCAATAAAGATAAAAATTATGAGTGAAGCTCACATATCATTTTAGCTTAAAAAAAAACATTTCCTTGATTTTTAGTTTTATCACCTATGTTTATGTCCCTAAACAATATTTTGTTAGTTTTGCTTTTTCTTAAACTTTATATAAAAAGGAACTTTTCAAAAAATAAAGTCAAATAATCAACTTTTGAAGTCCATCTCAGACTATGGACAGAGCAACTTCTAGAAAGACTAAACTACAGTTCTAGAAACCAAACAGAAATCTTTTGTTTCCAAATCTTTGGGTTTTACAATGAGTGACGAAAAGTAGAGTACAGATGTAATTTCATGTCTAGGAAATTTTAAGAGAATAAACACCAGTAAAAAAATATTGTAAGCAATACGGCTAATTTTTAAAATATATATTAATGGAATATAAATGATCAACTTACATCTATTGGCAGTGATTCATCTTCCTTTTCTGTTAATCGCATATAAGAACGATCTATAAACCAGAAGCATACCATTATGGAAATTGTAGTTCATTTTTCTTTCTTAAAATGCAAGCAAATCAACATACCAAAGAAGCAGCTGACTTATATGCTACATAAAGTAATGCGAATTCTAGATTCCTCAAAAACCTCTATCTTCTAAGTCTGTCAGCCTGATCTTGAACTGTTTTATCCTCATCATGACCCACTTTGCCACCTTATAAAACAGGGTAAGAGTGACAGGTTAAGTGTAAGCAAGAAATACCTACACATAATTTTTCTTTCATTACTACAAGAAAACTAGAATCCTCTAAAACGAAACTATTTCTTTCACTAACTGGTCACAGAAATCACATTATTTAAAAATTAATAAGCCTACAGAAAATCTCAACTCTGAAAGAACACCACCATCACATAGAATTGGTATGAAAATGTTTTTCCTGAGAATATGCTGGGGCAGTAGTGGAACAGGAAAAAATCCAGGACATCAATTTCTGTTTCTGTGATTAAATTATAATGCTGCTGCTGCCTTAGTCTCAGGAAGCAGCAAGGTATGAAGGAAAAAAAAAATCAGGATTTGGAAGCTGATAGGCCTGGATCATAAAACCAGCTCTTCAACTTTCTGTAACTGACATTATCTCATTCAATGTAATGTAACATGTATCTCAATTTCAGAATGTTAAAATGGAGGAGTGGGAGGGTAAGTGTCTTAGAATTAAAGAAATACAGTATCTTCTCACTGCCTAAGTTTCTGCAACAGTAAAATGGGAATAATGTGAGGATAAATGAAATATGTGATAGGCACTCTGCCATAATAAAGTTCCTTACCATAGTATGTTATCTGCTGCCACAATCTGACATGACACAATTAGCCTCAAAGGTAAATATTAGTCTTTCCAACTGAGCATTATAAAGAGGTCCCATTGCAGTGACAAATGCCACAAGGCATTTTAATCTCACTGGAAACATAAAAACAAAATCCTAATTCTAGAGAAACCTTGCACAATCCCTAGTCAATAATATATTGTGAATTAAAAAACAAAATTGTTTTGAGTGAACGTGCATTGACTCAAAAGAGGATGGGTTTAGAGACATTTCTGAAGTTTTCTCTTACAGAGTTTATCACAAGTGTAAAAGAAAAATCAAACCAATACCAAAAATAGGTTTTGGCTAACTTCCTACTGTCTGTTCAGTTCCCAGATAGCTTTTTTCTCTGCATGAAGCCTAATCCGACTCTAACATTGCCTTTAACCAGGTATCTCATCTGTAAAACTAAGAGGTTGGACTTCAATGATCTTGCTCTAGTACCTTAAAATTTTACAGCTGAAGCACATTGTAGAAAATGCCACAGCACTCCACAGAATCCTACCCTCCCCTATAGGGCAGTGCTTCTCAAAGGAATGTGAACACAAATCACCTGGAGATCTCATTGAAATGCAGATTCGGATTCCACAAATCTGGGGCGGGCATTTCTAACAAGCTCCCAGGTGATTTCAACTGTTGACCTCACTTGAGCAACAAGGTTCTAGGACTACCCTAGTCTCCATGTATCTTTACATACTTTCAGCATAGCATCTATCACTCTTTTTGTAATTATTTCTTGATCCATTTGTTTCTCCACTTGACTTTGAACTCCCTTAGGGCGTCACTGTACCTCTAGTACCTAAGCACAGCGTCATTTCAAACAATTCACCAGGAATGAATTTTATAAGGCAGTGTAGCACATAGACTCTGGAGTCAAACTGCTTGTCCTTAAATCCTGGTCCCACTGTTTCTCATCTCCGTAATTGCGTGCACGTTTCTTAGCTGTGTGTCTCAATTTCCTCATCTTTCAAAGATGATAATAAGATATAATACCTTCCTCACAGGACTTTTGGTAGGACTGAATTATATAATATATGTAACGTGCTTCGTTCAGTCCCTGGCACTTGGTAAGCACTTAATAATGTTAGCTATTATTATCATCAAAGATTGGAGCTTTAGAGGAACCAGCACAGAACAGGGGAAACATGACAACTAAACGCAATGTGATACTCTGGATTGATTCCTAGAACAGAAAGACATTGATGGAAAAACTAGTGAGATCCAAATAAAAGCTAGACTTTAGTTAACAGTAATATACCAGTGTCAGTTTCTTAGTTGTGACAATATACCACGGTAATGTTAAGATGTTACCTACGATGGAAACTGGGTGAGGGGTATATAGGAACTCTCTGTAGTATCTTTGCAACTTTTCTGTAAATTGAAAACTTCTAAATAAAAATTTATTTTTAAAATATGTTGCATTTCCTTCAGACAATGTCATAATACATGTATGTATTAACAGTAGTTAAAATAATTGGATTATTTTAATTATAATGAAACAAAAGGTTTTAACTTGAAAAATACTGGAGCTTTGAAGGAATTCACATTTCATTTTCTACTTCGTTCCTGAAGATGAAAAGTAATCTAGCAACTAAAAGAATAAAGTTCAAGTTTGAATTTATTTACTTCATTCGACAAATTTATTGAGTACCTATGGTGGGGAAAATTGTGCTAGGCACTAAGATGACAGCAATAAACAAAAAAATATACATTGTTCCTGCCCTTATGAGCTCTATAGGCTAGGACAGGGGTCAGCCAACTTTACCTGTAAATGGCGAGATAATAAATATTTTAGGCTTTGTAGGCCATACTGTATCACAACTATACACAACTCTGCCTTTAGAAAGCAGCCAGACAATACCTAAATGAATGGGTGTGACTGTGTGACAATAAAACTTCATTGATGGACACTGAAACTTGGATTTTATATAATTGTCATGGATCATAAGATAGTCTTTTGCTTTATTCCCCCAACGAATTAAAAATGTAAAAAATTCTTAGCTCAATATGAAAACAGAAGGGAGGCTGCATTTGGCCCACATGCCAGAATTTGCTGACCCTTGGTCTAGGAGAGAAGGAAGATGTTAAAACAGACCAGCTGTCTCAAGACTTCACTGTATCTTCTGCTGGACTCCAACTTTCTTCTTGATGATACAATTTTATCTGTACAATAAAGTATTTTACTCTTTCTTTCATTTAAACTTCTCAACCGCTCTGTGACACAAAAAGGGCAGGAATTAAAATCCACCTCAGTAAAGCCTCAGAGAAGGAACACGACTTGCCCAAGGTCACAGATTTAGCGGCAAAGCAAGTTTTTAATAACCAGCCCTCCGGACTACCAGTCCAGCGCTCTTCCCCCTGTGTCTCTCCATGAGGCAAACGGTCACTTAACTTCTCAGTCACTGCCTGAACAGCCCAGGAGTGCCCCAAATGCTGTCCCCTAGTTGTCATGGGACCACGAGCATCCGAGGTCTTCAATGTGACACTTTGCCTGATCAGCCCTACGCTGGATCTGACATTACCTGCCCTGGATTCCCAGATAGATTCCCTCTTTGCCCACCTTGCAGCCCGCCAGTCCCGCTCTGAGCCCTCTCCCAGACACCTCCTTCTAATGTTGCTTCGATCTTTCACCGAGGAGCCCCACACTGCTTCTCATAATCACCCCAAACTCTAAGGTCTTGAATGACCCTTCCTGGGACACTTGGTCTGACACTTCCTCTGGGATGCGCCCACACACCGCCCCTGGAGTGCAGCACAGGAGCAATCCGTGCATCCCTCAGGCACTTACGCTGCGCAGCGGAAAAGGCCGCGTGGGCTAGGGCAAAGAGGCCGATGCCCACTAGCCCCTTCCACAGCGACGGCGCCATGATTCCAGACGAGTAGCAGCCCAACAAAAGCAGTGAAGGGCAGCGAAGCAGTTCCCTCTTCCACAGGCGGGTGTATGCGCAGCGCAGAGAGATGACGTCACTGGACCCTGATTGCGAAATGTCTCGCAGAGATGGAAAAAAACGAAGAACCTTGAGAAAGCGGAAACAAGAATGTCGGGAAGAAAGGAAAAGCACACTGAAAAAGGTTCACGAGTGCCCGTGAGGAGAGTCTGCGCTGCGCTGCCTCTGGGAGGGGCGGAGCTGAGCGGTGGGTAAAAGAAGAGGCGAGAGCGGACCAATGGGAAAGCGGAGAGGAAGGGCGCCAGCAAATGAGCGTGGGCCGCGGGGCAGGGGGCGGGGCCTGCGGATAGGCCAGGGTAGGGCAGAGCGGCGGTAGGCTGGAGGGGTTGGTCAAAGGCCCTCGGTGGTGGTTTTCTGTCCCCAGCAGGAGATTTTCATTTGTTTGTTTGGCTTTTCCCTCAAGCTGTGTCCTTTGTTTTCTGTTGACTTTTCCTATGCATCAGCCCTTTGGGAACCGGCACTACGGAAGGAGACAATACTGTGAAAGCAGAGGCGGGTGGGGTGCAAAGGAAAACAGCCTAGGATTTGGAGCCCTAAACACGTGTCACGCTCAGGGGGATCCTCGGCTAAAGTTAGTTCCCTTCTGCTTACCTTCAAAAGGTCTTTACGAAGGATTCACGCCCAAAGGGATGTAGCGCAGCGGGAGTGTTTTGTCATGAAGAAAATCAGTTTACATTAGGGAGAAATGAAAGGGGAGGAATAAAAGGATGGTAACAACTCAGGCCCATCTTATCTCTGTCTCTGTGTCTCTCAGTCTGTCTCTCTGATTAGAATAAAATGTACTCTCCTTTCTCGATTTTTCTTTATTACTTTATTCCCTAAAATGGAGACATTCGACGGTGAGGTTCTCCTCTTGACCTCTTTTCACTCTGCTATTTTGCAATTTCACCTATTCATTCTCACCGCTTCAGCCACTGGAGACATTACAGTGGTTCCAAATGAACATCTCTATCGGAAATGTCTCTCCTCAGCTCCAGACGTGCATTTCCAATTACCTGCTGGACATTTATTTCTATCCCGTGGCACTTCAAACTTAATATGGCCAAAACAGATTTCATCCTTTTTTCCAAACTCTGCACCAACTCCTCCAGTGCCCCCTGACTGGCACAGGGTTGTAAACTGCATATCACAAGGTAAATGCATAGCGTAATCACCATTCTTTTCCCCTCGACCCTGTCAGAATTCTATGTTTTAGCTGTATCTTGCTTGACGATGTCTACCTTGACCACCTCTTTTAAATTTGCAATCTTCATATTTCTGATCCCCTTAACCTGCTTTATTTTTATCACCTTCTAACATACTCTATAATTTACTTATTATATTTATTTTGTTATTGTTGTTCACTGTCTCTCGTACCCCACTGGAATGTAAGTTGCAAGAGGATAGAGATTTCTATGTCTAGAACATTGCCTGACACATGATAGGCATTCAAATAAATGTTTGTTAAATGAATTAATAAATTATGGGAAAGAATGGAGGATGACGGATGTACCCTTGTTTGAAAGGATCTCTATAGAGAGTTCTTCCTTTAGTTTGAATTGGGTTCCAAAATCCCCGTGGACTTATATGCTCTCATAAATTTTAATAAGTCTTTGATTGATGATAAACATTTTCTGATATACTTGAGCTTCCTCAAAGCTGGAAAAAAAAACTAGAAATAAAGAAGTCCTCCAAGAATTATCAGATTTCCTCACCTTTACCTATATAGTTTTTGTCTTGGATCTCATTTACAAACCTTTCATTATGGTCATTATTTTTCTATGGGAACTCTCCAATTTCTTCACCTCTAAGCCAAGATTCGACACAGTATTTGATCAATGTCAAGTAAAGTATTGTGTATTCCTTACAAATGCAGTTCTATTTTAAACCCTCACAATCAAGGAAAACCAGGAAATAATCTCTCTGTACTTGACAGGAAAGTACTTCCTTCTCCACCACTGGGAGGCAACAAGATAGAACAGATAGTTGAGCAAAAAAAAATCTTAAAGCTTTGTTTTAGCTTCGATAATGGTCAAATTGAAATTAACCTTTTCAGGTAACCTATTAAATTACCTTTTCAAATATTAATTTATCTGAAGTAGAAAATGATTAGGAGGTTTCTTAAAGGATCTGAGACCTTATTCCTTTCTTTTAAAAAGATGAGATTGTGGGGAAAAAAGATAGAGCCAGTAAGGAATCTGATATTTGTATAAGCCACTGATATGTTATCTTAGTGTTCAGGGAAATAACCTGTGTATGTCCAGGCATTAAATTTTGTTCTCTTCACTACCTTCTTAAAATGCATTCCCCACTCTCTTCCTTTGACTCTTACTCATGTACTGAGAGCAAAAGAAACTACACTAGTTTCATATTTTCTAGAAATAAGTGGTTAACTCATATTTATGGAATGAGATTTTGTCTTACCTGTGGATCCCAACCTAAAAGGAAGCCAAGATATTTGTAGTCACAGTTACCACGGACCGGACCGTATTGTTCAAATAAGTACCTTGGGTACACTCACACATTGTTCTCTAGGTCTGAGTTAATTTCAAAGGTGCAAAGTACAGCTAGTGGCAGCACTGTTTTCATGAGCTCTTGGAACGAAAGTCAAACCTCATAAGAAAGAGCATTTAAATTCCTAGGTAATGCCAGAAATGCCTTTAGTTTTCTCAAAGAAATGGCCATTTTCCATATGCACAGGGGATAATGATGTGGATATTATTAAAGGTGGGAATAATGATCTTTAAAGCATGTTTCCTACCCAGATGTTATTTATGAAGACTCATTTCATTTCCCCAGGATGGTCAGTTGAAAAGAGAAACCAATGCAATTCCAGAATTGTCTTCAAGTTAATTAACTTTTTTACATGCCACCAAACTACACAACTTCATATACCACTCATCTATGTCTCCATTTTCCATGCTGATTCTCCCTCCACCTAGCACACTCTGTTTCTTCCTACCTGGTTCAAAACTCATGACTACGATAGGCATATATATATTGAGGGTACTAAACCTTTCTTCAAGGTACTTATATTTATTACAACCTCCCTGGGTAACAAATTCAAGATGTTTACTACCTTTTGGGTAAACTAGTATTTTCAATTTTTATATTGAAATTGCATCTTCTCATTTATTTTCTTTACAAAAGTGATGTGTGCTCACTGTAAGAAATTCAAATGATAAAACAATGTATTCCTCTTAAAGAAAGCATTAAGTGGTTTCTTGGTGTTTCGAGTTTTGAATCTTCATAAACAAAACTATGGTACTTGATTCAGATCTTTAAGGTTTGTTTGCTGGAAGGTTCGTAATACCATGGTTAAAAACATATACTCTGGAATTAAATTGGGTTTGAATCCTTGCTTCTCTATTACTACCTCTGGGAGATTGGACAATTTACCTAACTTTACTCTACCTCAGTTTTCTCATCTGTAAAGTGGGGATAATAATAGTACTTACTTGATAAGATTGTTGTCAGGATTGAGAGGATATGTATAAGCTGTTTAGAATAATCTTACACATAGCAAGCACTCAATAAATGTTAACCATTATTATTATCGCTGTTTCTGCTTTTGACTCTTCTGGCTGTTTATCTATACTGAAGTTCTTTATTTCTTTAGTCTTACCTACAACATCATTTGCTTCTCCCCTTTGATTATTTTAATTGCTCTCCTCTGGACTATTTCTAGCTTTACTAATATCTCTCTTAGGGTTTCATTACCACATCTGCACAAAGTATCTTAGGTTACTTGTCTGAAGTTAATATAATTATTCATTTCAAATAGCCTGGATACCAAAAATGACACAGAAAATCTTATTTGCTTTTTTTTAGCACATTGGGCTGCTCTGTTTGGAAAAGAAACTGGAAACTCCAGTATAATTATGCTGGGTTCTAACTGATAGTTGTGACCTAGCCTTTATTCTACTTCTTGAATATAGGCATTCTCTGTACTACTGCCTTAAGACTGGGTCTTTTTCTACCCTCTCTTCTTTGGGAGATGATTGTTGGAGTAGAAACAATCTTCCTCTCCAGGAAAGAGGCATGGAAGAGATGATGGAATGCAGAGTACCCATCTAGGCATTAGTTTCATAAGGGAGAAGAAAACATCTCTTCCAGTGAGGCTGGAGGGGAGGAAGAAAGAATGGGCACTGATGAGATGTTTAAGTAGATTGCAGGGTAAGGAAAGTGAGGACTATTTTCTTGAGGATCTTGATTTCCCCAGTGAAAGAGGAGGCAAGGTTTGGATTCCAGGCGACTTGTCTGTATGAGTATGGAAGTCACTCAGGGTGATGGCAGGACTGGGGTGGAGGGAGTTGGTGGTGGGGAGAAAAAGCTGTGAACCAAATGCCCAAGTCCTCTGTGAATGTAGCGGAGCGACAAGGGAGCCATCAGAGGACAGCAACAAGGATAGGAGACGTTGTTCACCTTCTGTGAAGGGTGGAGGAGTAATGAGCTTGGAATAACAATGGGGAGTAAGCCAAATGCCAACTCCTCTTTCAGGCCACATGATACAGGGCGTGAGTTGTGTATATGTGTGTATGGGTGGTGAGGAAATGACTTGAAACAGCTTCAGAGAATGCAATGTCCCTGGTGACATTCAGGTACTGTTAAAAGAAAGAGACGGAGGGAGCATCAGTGCAGCAACTGAGAGGGTTGGGTAGTTTGTTCATAATGGAAGGCATTCCAGAGAGTACACAACAAGGATTGGCAAGGAGGACAGTAGTGAGAGGAGAAAGTGGTAGGTGAGAGTCAGAAGAAGCATAAGGCAGTGTTCGGTTGAAAGAGAAGTATATTCTGAGAGGAGCTGAAGGCTCACGAGGATTGGCCCTCTTGATAGAATATTGCCATCTCAAGATTCCTCCTGGAACTCTGATGTAAAGAGGCTGCTGGTGATGCCTACTAAGTTGCTGTAGTCATTTAAACAGAGGTAGAGTCTGGGGTGTGAAGACTTGCTAACTATGGTCAGGAAAGCAAACTGTGACTTTGTTTTTTTTCAACTTCCAAACACTGGGATACCAGAGGGGGCGGGGGAGGTAGATGGGGTAAAAGTGGTCAAATATGTGGCAACAAAAAGAAATATAACTATGAGAGGTGAACATACAATGTAAATAAGTATATGCCTTACTGTTAAAATGTGCAGCTGAGACTTGCTGAATTTCATTAACCAATGTCACCATTAAATCTATCAATCAATC